GTGCTTGGTCATCGCGGAGCCCGCGGCATTCCCTTTGCTGCAGCTGTGTTTACCTAAGCAGGCAGAGGAAGGCAGACATGGGAGTGGGAGAGGGAGGAGAGGAGAGGGGGGAAGGGAAGGGAGGAAGATGAGAGAGAGATGGGAGAGGAGATACAGAGGAGAGCGAGAAGAGAGAGGGATAGCGAGATTAGATACGAGAGCTCACCACTTTCTCTCTCCTCGCCCGCCGCGGAGAGGCGCTCGAAGGCTAGCCGATTCGTAGTCTCGAGAGAGAGAGAGATCCTCTCGAGAAGGGATCGAGCTCGGAGAGCGCTTCTGATTTTTCTAGCCCTCGAGAGGAGCTGAGGGACAGAGGAGGTGGTGGTGGTGGTGGTATCGGGCAGAGTAAACGAACGTGTTAAGGAGGAAAACACAAGGGAAGGGGGATGCGAACTCGCCTGCTCGCTACACTTACGCACGCCCTGCTCTGTACTGCTGCAGCTGTGGGAATCATTGCATAATAAGCGACGTGTTGATCTGTACCACAGAGGCTTCAGCCCCATAATGCACCGCACTAAACCATCCAGCGATTGACCTCCGGCGCGGGGTCAGCGCTCGGAATTTACGACGATCTATCATGTTACTCTCCGATTACAGGGTGGTTTGAATCCCAATGATTTTACCTATTAACAATCCAGTTACGAAGAGCGCTTGTGCGTCGTTCACGAGAGATTTGGCTGCTTTCTCAATGTCGTTAGAGAAGGCTTACGACTCAATCAAGGCAGTAAAACATGCGCCCATGGTCGGGTTTCACGCGGGGTTCAGACGGGCTAACGACACGCTGGCAGACACGCGCACGCGTAATGTATGAACGAGTCGAATCGTCTTGGCCGGCCGCGGGCAGAGAAAGCCGACTGCGAGGACAGCGTGTTCGCAAACGGCGCGGAGCGACGGGTCAGGCAGCCATCATGACCGGGTCCCGGCCGGCAGTCGGGATCAGGACCGACCAGGACTCAGGACCGGGTCCGGGTCGGCAGTCTGGACCAGAACCGATCAGGAATCAGGACCGGGTTCCGTCCCACCGCAGTCTGGACTGGGGACTGACCGCCAGTCCTTGGCCCTCGGTCCGGACTGACAACAGACCAGCTGTCCGGACCAAGAACCAGCTGCCAGTCTGGACCAAGAACCGGCCAGCGGCCTAGACTGAGGATCGGCTGGTTGTGTGCTGTGCGAACTAAGCACTGTGGACCTGGGACCAGTTCAGCGCGGCGGCCAGAACGCATGGGTGACCGCCATGGCCGGCACTGCCGACACACCTGGTGATCAGGCTATCTCGGTTTGGGGTGCGCTGACGGCGACAGACATTTTGCGCCCTCACACAGGGCGCAAAATCTTATCCTAACTTCCACCGGTTCCAGCTTTGACCGATCGACCTACACACAGGACTCAGGCCTGGAGCCGTCCCTGGTGCCGTCCCTGGTGTCAGGCCTGGTGCCGTCCCTGGTGTCTGTCACCAACAAGTCGGCCCTGGCAGGACCAAGGGAAGCGGCGGCCAGCCAAGGAGGCGATGGGAGTCTGAGTATGCTGATAGCATGTCGCTTAGGACATTACTTGTGTTATGTCATGAGTCCTCCCTGTGTTTATAACCGATCATGTGCGTAAATTGGTGAGACGGTGCGCTTCGTTTCGACTTGACATCACAGCCGCCGGCTCATGTGTCTTACGTCGATATAAATAGCAAAATGCAAACACGGTGTTCGTCCATGACACTTTCAGGTAACATACCTAACTAATTTCCACATACCCACATAATATCTAACGCTCAGAATGTTATGCTCTTAGGAGAACAGGCGAAAGCGGGAACGGCGCTGCACACTTATCCAAATCCAGCGTGCCGGATTACGTTCAACCTTGGAGCGAAGCATGGATTGCAAACCCGGGCCTTTCGGTCTCATTCACCAGCCTGCATCAGAGCCGTGACCTTCCCTTCGTTGCATGCTGGTGTGTCACAAGACTGCAGAAACTACGCACTTCGTCGCCGACCCCGCTCTGTTTGTCTACCCATCAGAAGACATTTGTCCCCTTCAAGCCCAGCAGCGATGCTTGTCAGCGCTGCACGAGCCGGGACAATGCCCCGCGGGGAGGGGGGCTCCGTACATGAACTGCCCCGCTTCCGGTCGGGCCGCGCTGCGACTGCAATGTTGCAACAATGCAGCGGACCAGATGACGGGGGCGATAGCGCGGCGCATGTGGCCGCCACCACCGCACCACGACCGTTACCGTGGCGGGGTGGGGTGGGGTGGGGCGGGACGGGGAGGGGCGGTGGGGCTGGGAGGTGGGAACGGAGCCCGAACCGCGGCCGGCATGGCGGGGGCGGTGACAGCTGCCGCGCCAGAGCTGGCTGCAGCGGCCCCCGCTCAGGTGCCTGCCCTGGTCTGCCCCGTGTCACGGCGGCTGACATAGACCTGGAAGCGGTGAACGAGGCGCCACTGTACCGACAGCGTGAGCGCAACTCGGTGCCGCGATCAGGGTGTTGCGTAAGGAGAGTGGCGAAAAACACAGGGAATCGTCCGAAGCGTTCTGCAGACTCTCGCGCTCCGGAAGCGGATAGAAATAGATGAGTGGCATGCTTGTATTGCGAGGCTGAACGAAAGCCACCCTGCACAGCATCGTAGCCTCAACATCGCGTCGGTGGAGCCCTGTACAGGCGCCACGAGGGTAAAACGCACTTGACAGGGGGCAGACGCGGCTCCGGACACTCAGAGGTCGAGCGAATGGCCGATGATCGAGGGGGACGGGGGATTTCGTGGATGCTCTTCTGATGCAACGCCACAGACGGACTGTCAAGCCTCACTAGATCATCGAGAGATGTGCCTCAGCTCCGGCGATGCCGTACCTGGTAAAGCATCAGCAGGACTCAGGTGCCAACCACTGGGCAAGGATCGGTGGCATGCATTTTAGGGCCGGGCTGAGGGACACCGCGGTAGTCAGGGACGGATAAACCTGTGCCAGCCTCTGACAAAAGACACAGCTCATTCAAGCGCAAACGGCGAATGTTCGGGTACATCATCCCGCCCTCGGTCTAGAGCCTGATGTTCGAATACGGGCTATGATTCCTCGCCTGACATTGCTGCAAAAATCTCAAGGCAGGTCACGTTTATACCGTGGGAAAATATAAGCGTCTCTTGGTCATCAGAGACAGCAAGGGCCATGTCAACATGTTCGACAGCATGTCTCTTTGCAATCTGGCATGGCAGCTGTTGTCCACAGACAAACGAGCTCATCCCCAAACTCGCGTCGCTCGGGGCTGCGGCACTCATGGCCATGCAGCCGATGGGTATATCGCACGTTTCGCACACTTCTGAGAAGCATTACCCTCAAGGCAACGGTTGTCTAGACGGGGTTTGTCGGACGATATCGTAAAAGTTATGGAGCGTGACATTCGCATGTGGCAACGCCATTTGAAGTGGCACCCGAGCACCCCGGCATTTGTTTACCGTTTCGCGGAAATTGCGTCCACACCAAGCGCGTCAAATATCCGCTTCGAAAGATGTACGGACTGTGCAAAATCTCTGAGCCGTGCACGCATGCCTACTGCATATAAACGACCCAAAGTGCTCGCCAGTTTCCAGCAGCGCTTATGAACGAAGCGCGACGGGTCCTGTTTATGCTGGCCTGGGACGCTGGTCCCGCGTCGCCCGGCGGATCATCCACCCCCATCACCGAGCCCGGGACGCCGGTCCCGCGTCGACCGACGGATCATCCACCCCCATCACCGATCGAGTGGTAACCTCTTCTAACCTCCCGTCCTTCGGCCGCATCCTGGTTGGTGGCCGGCGACCATCCTACCCCGTTAATCGGGCCGCCGGCCGCCGTCGTCCCCCGTTAGTCGGACGGTGGCCGGTTGCAGCGCGCTCGCCCGCTCCGGCCCGTTAATCGCGACTGCTCTGCTTACTCCGGCGGGCCGGCGTCGCGGCGGCGGGGGCGACGTCCACGCGCCGCCGCCGCCGCCGCCGCCTCCGCCCCGCACGCCAGCCGAGGTCAGGTGTCACGATGTGTCCGCAGGTCTTCATCGATTCTCATGGAACAGCGCTTAACGCGTCGTAAAAAATGCAATATAACCGAATAACAATGGACCAATCAATGACGGGACGGGACCGGCGATTTTTATTCATCGCAGATAAAGATTTTACTATTGCGGCAACCGGAATCGGAGGTGTATGAAAGGCCTTTGAATAAGCGCGATGGGGGCCAATCCGTCGTTCGGGGACGCTCTTTCACCCAAAAATATCCGCCGCAGCGGTCCAGGAGCCGTGACTTGCCGGTCTTCTGGGCTTTAAAGCCAGCCAGGAGGACGCGGGCGTCAGGACAGCATCCTTTGATGCAGGGCCGGGCCAAACAGACGGGGCAGTGGAGGTAGCAGCGCGCTGTTTTCCGTTCCCACGGCCTTTAGGTGTGATTCAGGCGCGTCGGCAAGCGTGGCCCTGTTCGCTGGGCCTACGGATGCTGATGAGCGACGCCAAACTCAGCTCCTAGAAGTCGCATAGCGCTTCTCCTAAGCTGGGTTTTAATGCTCCCGGGACTTAAGGCATTACCAGTTGGGCGTTCTTATGCTGGGATTTTAGACAAGCTCTTATGCTGGGATTTTACGGGCGGTTTATTGACGCCTTAAACGTAACATATTTAAGAACTTACCGTACAGCATTTACTAAAACTTTGAATGTGCCAGAACTTCTGCGTTGGAGAAACCCCGAACCTCGGGAAACCAAATGGGCTTGCCAGTGCAGACTGCAGAGTGCATTCACACGGGCCCTTCTGCAGATTTTTGACCGGGTTCAACGGCAGATATCCTGGCTGGATTTTCCTACTTCAGTAGGACAAACAGAGGCTCGAGGCTGGTCACGTTTGCATTCGAATGATGCCAGCTCCTCTCAATCGCGCGTCCTGTGCTACGTCAGCTCGGATACGTGCGCAGCGACGCCGCCGAGCCCCCGCAGCGGCACCCGTGCGGTCCGACTTACTTTTCGTCTAGCTGCAAGAACTTCATGTCCATGGAGTGGATTGAGGTGAAGACGTTGGTGGCGCCCTGCACCACGCACTCGCGCGTCTCCGGCATGGCGATAGGTGTGCATGTGGCCACGAACACCGGCTCGTTTCTGCTGCACAGCGGCAGGTAGGAGAGGTAGTGACCCCGGATCAACACCACCTGGAGCAGGGTCACGGCCACCCGGTCAGCAGGCTACGGCGACACCGGGGGCAGGATCGAAGGTCATGCCTGCGACGGGGACGTGGGTTACACCTCGCGCGAGGTCAGACGTCACGGCTGGTCGGGGACGTCACCGGTCACCCACATGATGGTGTCACAAGTCACAACTGTGGCGAGGTCACGGTGCACACTTGTGCTAGCGTGAAAGGTCACAACTAGACGAGAGTCAATTATTACGCTTGGAACAGGATCACGGATCACAATGCCACTAGGGGTGCATATCTTGAACGTGGTTACGTGTAATGCCTGGAGCATGGTCACATGTCACGTGCGAAATAAAACTATTGCAAGTCACACAAGTGCCGGGGTTTGCGGGTCCGACCTTGATCAGGGTCACTTGGCGTCGCGCGGGTAGTGTCACAGTACACCTAGAACAGGTCACATCAGTGACGTGTTACAGGTCACACTTGGTCAGCCAGATCGGTTTACTTTTCATCAACGAAAACCAACAAGAAGGGAAGTCACACGAGAGGCGTCACACGACTCAGGAACACACAGCTGTTCCGGGGTAAGGTAAGCCCCAGGTGAGCCAGAAGAGACGGCGGCGGTTGGAGAAAATGCAGCGAACGAGGATGTGCATCATCTGCAATAGGATTACACCCCACCCTTTCAGTGATAGTGGGTTCAAAGACTTCAGTCGGTTCTTGCAACATGCAGATTGCAGGTTACTGTATATCGGATGATCTGCGTCAGGCGACTCTGGCAGACGCGGCGCGCCGTCCATAGGCCAGCGATTTTGGAGCATGATCAGTTTTGGAAGCGTTGCGGCTACGCTGCTATGCCAAAGTGCAGTCTCCTCAGTTACTGCCGTGCGGCGCATTGCTATCCCGGCAGTCGCTCGCCGGCAAGGCGGCGTGGAACGGGCTGGCTACTGGTGATACTGGAGAATGGTCTGACTCCCGCACCCAGCGCAGGCTGGAAAGGCCCGGTCGTAACCAGCGCCAAATAGCACAGGTTAGCCTCTAAATCATGCTGATATGTGTAAAACTGAATGCCAGGACATGACCATGGCAACGTTTTCAGACATTTTCCCATACATGCGGTTTCCAGTCATACTGTATCGGGCGCAAAGCGGCTGAATGTCATGCACGCATATGTGCATATACATATGCATATATACGCATATCAGCAGGAGCGGCTGGTCAGGAAATCTGAACATGAACTGTTCTGCGTAATTGCCAACTCTGCAAATGTGGGTTGGCTGGCTCACTCTGGCGACTGACTAAATTTCACTGCGCTGTTTCCCACATGGAAAACAGCCAGCTTGATGGCTGACGCCGAATAGCGACAGTCATAACATTTATGTTTGTGGCGCACGCAGTAGAGGGAGGTGCTAGGGTACCGAAGAGCAGCCTTCCTCTGCTGTGGTTTCCTGATTTATCGGAAGCCACCCAATCGCCAGTGTTCTGAGTCTCGGTGGCCGGTGTGGGAGTGGGGCTCGGTGACGACACACGTCTGACCCGAGGCCACGTCTGACCGGTCGACGCCTGCAGCCGCCACCCACCTTCTGGTCGCCGAAGCGCATCTGACGCCGGGCGTTCCTGGAGACGTTCATCCTGCAGAGGAACATGCGCGCGTCGTCGGCCGGTAGCGCGGTCGACGCCGGTGCCCGCATCAGCTCCGCCTGGATGGCCTGGTGGTCCTGCTTGTCGATGATGTCGTACACCGAGTCGCCGTGGATGAGCAAGTCCTCCTGGAAGTGCCGGCCGCCGGTCAGCCGCCCGGCCCCGCAGCGTCACGCCCCGGTACACTCCCGATCGTCGCCCGGTGGAAGTCCATCACAGCGCATTGCGGGGAACGAATGGATCGAGACGTGCGTGACCGCGATCGCAGGGAAGCGCAACTCGGGCCTTTGTTTTCCATTACTGCAATGTCACGAAAAGCGCTGTAACAGAAGCGCTGCCAGCGGAATCCAGTCGGTCAAGCGTGCTAATTGGTTTCAATGTATTGCGAAATGGGAGTGCATCAAGCTTGATTTTGACCAACACATTCCCTAAACGTACAGGCAGAAGTGAAGCCGACGCACTCTCGCTAACGGACTGCCACTGCATAAGTTTGGCTCGTAGAGAGAGGGAGAGGCCAAAACAATGAATAACTGTTTAGAGAAGGAACAAAATAAAGTTAGAGCAAGAGCTGACGGAAAGAATAACATCCGCTTTAATGTGACGCAATTACCTGATCATCGATACTCACACGTTACCGCTTGTTATCGCATTACGAGAGTTTAGCGTGTCCGGCGCTGTTACCAGGCTATTGCGCATCGCTATCCTGTAGTAAATCGCTATCAGTCGATGCAGCGGTGGGCCCATTACATTCCGGCCGGTCAGCGTCCGTACGCTCGCCTTGCCAATCATCGCGCCGCCCGCCGCTGCACTGGAGCGGCGCGCAACACTTCTCCTCTCGGGAGTCAAATGAATGTCGTCCATTAAGTCCGAAACCAGCTCTGAAAGTATCGCGGCGATAAACATCGTTCTCATGGCATTAGGCTGGAGGGGGAGGGGGCGGATTTATTCGGCGTCTGCACTCCAAACCGAGCAGGGGCGTGGCCCCTGATGACGTTTCAGCATCCGGTTGGCGAATTTATCGCAGCCGGGCCCAGATTTTGATGAGTATCACCGCATTACTCGATGCAGTAATTATTGCTGACCGAACGCAGTTAGTGCAGGGTCTGGCCGCCCTGGCCAATTAGCTTACTAAATGGGAGGTTTTTCTTAAGTGCGGTCGTTCATTTTGCCATTTAATGCAACACCATCAGGTCCCATCGAAGGCAACTTAACGGCAGTGTAGGTCGACGGGTGATGTAGCTTGTTTCCCATAGAATCAGCTTTTGATGGGTCTTTTAGAAAATGCATCAAGGAGGCATAGAACATCCCTAGATGTGCACCACGCATTGCTAGTGCAAAAGGCGTCACGCGCGGTACAAGTTCAAAGTGTTTTTTCTTAAGCACGTTTGTCTGGTCTCGAATCGTGTTGAGTACGAATAGACGAGCTGTGCACACTTTCAAATGTGTTATGCTACGGCATTTTGTTACGGTGGTAACGCGTTTATATGTCACACAACAACGATCAAGTCACGACGTATGGCATGTCGTCTGCAGTCAGGAGCACGGCAAGCCCATATACGTACTCATTGTGGCCAGCTTAGCCAGTAAGACCTGGCGGCCCTCGATGAAGACTTCAGCTTGGTACGAGTCTGTAAACCATTTAAGTTTCACTTCACCATTGAGGTCTTAAGTTCACGGCAAACGTCAACAAGTAAGATTTTCAGGGGTATAGATAAAGATATAAATGCTCGCGCTCTTATGATGTGACCGCTTTCAATGTAAAATACCGAGACGAAACCAGTCATGAAAAGAAAAAAAACGTGAAAATTTCAAAAAAGCTGTGGCCTGAAATGCTATTGAAAAAATCAAAACATGACAAGAAAAGTTCTGAAGGTGAAAACTTCCAATTCCTATTTTCAAATTAAACGATTTGCTTCTTGCAGGAGTCCATGCAACTAAAACTTTGAGACCGAAAGGGTTAAGATTGCATTTTAAGCGTCGTGTGTGTCACAAATGGAGGCGCGGCGCCTCCATTTGTCGGCCATTATTCAACCCGATTAGTGCGGTACAATCAGCAAGATGGAGAGGAGCCAGGAGATCCGGTGGAACGAACCTGTCTCACTAAGCTGAATACTTTTCATTTGGAGCGATCCAAGAAGAGTGAAAGGAGACATGAAGAGTAACATTACAAGCGTATAAAACGAGGTGATTTGCATCAAAAACTAGCTCGTTCCGGCACAAATGGAGAACAGCTGATGGACTGATGTACCCGCCAGCACCCCAAATTTCCAGTTGCGTGCCGCGCAGCCCCTGACGACTTCAGGGCCCCACTCCCATGCCATTTCTTGACGCAATTAACAGCAGGTATTACGGTGGTCTGGGTCCGCACCCACCCCCCGTCCGCCGTCATGCAACGGAGCGACGGAAACGAAGCCGCGGCGACGCAACCGCGCCGTGACCGCCGCGACCAACTGAGCCGGCTGACGTCACGCGGTCACGTGACCTCGGCCGGCCGCCGGGTTCCCACGTTACAGTGAGCAGTGAGGCGGCGGCGGCGGCGGCGCGGGCTGCCCCCCGCGCTTCGGCGGCTGGCGCTGACCGGCGCGCCGCTATTGTCGCACTGTCAGAGCGGCGTCGCGCTGAAAAATGGGGCTCGCACGCTGGACCCTATGGAAGATGCACGGCCGACAAAGGCGGCCGGCGCCGGCCACCGTAAAACGCATACATCACTGGCCGCGAAAGTGGCGGATCACGCTATCATTAGTCGACCACTTTGTCAGACGGCAGCCGCCGTATGAATGCAACTAATTGCCCCCAAACGGGGCTGAAAGGGTGGCGCGCTGGCTCTCACTGTCCTCCTGCGCCGGATGCGGCCAGTAGCAATATCTGGCGGTAGCGATGACGTGGAACGGCACCATTGTGGGCTATTAGCCCAGGCGGGTTCCCACATTTGACCGTGCTGCAGCACGTCCGGCTCGTGGAATGCAATAATAAAGGCCCGGTGATGGGTGAAGAGGCCAAAGTTGGCATGTTCATGAATGGCTGTCTGAATTGTTCAATGCCGAGGCAGCTGGACGGCGTATAAATAGCCCTCTCGTCAATCGTCGCCGCTCGCTGCAGCCGTATCGCCTCGGAGAGCACACCGACAAAAACCTCCCACCTAAGCTAACAAAGAGAGGCCTAAAAAACTTACAAGCCGTCTGTGCCAGGGTTGTGGTAGCCGGACGTTTCCGCGTCTGCTGCGACGGCTTCACACCCGGATGACAGGTCAGAGCCTCGGCACTGCAACGCGCGGGCAACTGGACCGCCGCGAGAACAATGCCCCGCCCGCCGAGCGGCCTTGGCCGCCGACGCTGCGCCACTTCGGTCGCACCAATTGTTTACGGTTGTATCCATGGTTCCGCCGCGCGCAGTGCGCTCAATGAGGCCGTGATGAGTTGCAAGTTGCATCGCGAGGGGCGCTTCGCGGCCCGTCTGACAAAGAGCATGTAATGACTGAGACTTCCTGGCGCGCGAGCCGGCCTGGGTCGGCGGCCTCGTACCCCGTCATCGCCGCCGAGTGCTGCCAGATCGGCGCCGATCGAAACGGCTGCCAGATGGTGCCGGCGCTGCTGGCGGCCGCGGCGCCGTCGTCGGGGCGGAGGTGGCGACACCGGAGCTGCGCGGACAGCACTGCTGCAACCGCGCTAACGAATGGCCTGCCGTCTTCGGCCACGAGTTTGGCTATCGGAGAGTGTCTCCCCATCGGTAGAATCAAGCTTCGGTCAAGCGGTTCTGGACCTTGAGATCTTAATTAGACACCGCGATAAAAAAGCCACTTCTTAATATTGAGCCCTTGCCAGTAATAGGGCAACATAAAAGAAAGCAAAGCAATAAAAGACAGCTAACCGCAGTGGCTTATCTGCGCCGATCTGATTCATTAGTGGGAATGATTTCTGCAACCCGTCGCGGACAAAGAGCGAAAATCATTGGAGTATGTCTACAGTGGCGGCCAGCCGCAGCCAAAGCCTGGCCTAATCGCTAGCGCATCGACATTGTCCTCCCTGGGGCGGCCCGGAGCGCCACCACTGGCGGGGGCAGCCGCTTGTATAAAAGCCACCAGCGGCACAATGTGTTTTGTTGTACGGCGTTGTAAAATCGAGTCGAGGGGCGACGGAAGCTAGCGAACTGGGGGAGCAGCAGCCCAAAGCCAAGGCCATCTGCGGCGGCAGAGCTGGAAAACTGTTGAATGGAAAGGTGCGGGAGCCGTTCATGGCAAGGCTTTCACGGTGTGTAACGTTGTCTGAATTGCGTGGGCTGTGACATGGCTTAGCACAGATGATCGGCTGTACAACTTGATAATAACAGTAGAAAAGAATAAATAGAACGTTCGAAGGGATGAAAATTTGATACATATTCACCTAAGTTTCTTTTAAGCAGTTAATGCAAATGGTGAAAGTTATGGCCGGGCTTCATGTTGCAAAAAATTCGCTCACCGATGGGTGCCACTGATTGGTAGCATCTTTCCAAGAGGTGTGCGGTAATGATAGCAAATCAAAGCTGATTACAGGCCGGGCAGGTGAATTAAAGTGTTCCGACAAAACCTTGACATTCTGTGATGCATGAAGCACCTGAAAATATTGCGTGTCGCTTTCCTGTTGTGTCCTGCCGTCATCGTTTGCGGTTGGCGTCTCGGGTTCTGGAATGTTTGTTCGCTCGTCAATTACCGAACCAACGACAGCCGCTATGCTTGCAGGAAACACTCAACCGCATCCCGCATACGTCTCCAGAGATTGGCTAAAATGCTGAGTTTCACATGGTTATTGGCTACCGCCCAAGCCTGACTGGTAAACCAATTAATCGGTCCGAACTGCGCCAAATGCAGCACGCTTGTGTGGTGGATAAACAGAGGATTGCAGACGGATTAGCTCCGATCAAGAATACTAGTTTAACAGCGAGCGATGCACGGCGGTGATTCAGTAGGCCCCCCCTGGCAGCAGTCCCACTGTGAGCCTGCCGAGGCCATCCGCACCTTCCCCGTGGCGGATGTCTGTGCGAGAGATCCACAGGAAAATTGTGGGGAGGCGGTGCTGCAAACCAAGCGAAAGCCCTAATTACCTGTCAATGGTAATAGCTGTTTTCTTGCCGCAGTTGCCTGTAGCGGTGCATTACCGGCAATACATTCCTGGGAGTGCATTTTCACAGGGTGATTGAAGAAGCCGGGGAACGGCATGGAATAAGTAAGCAAATGCGAGCGACAAATATTTCGCTGCGAAAGAAACTTAGCTATGATGTAACCCATTTCAAGCACGCAACGGGTTGCAGCACTGCTTGCGTTGCATTCGGTACGACATTTCGAAGGCAGTTAAAGCATGCAAGATGAAGATAAGATCTCATACGTGAGAGGCGTCGACCACCCAGCGGCTCTCGACTGCGGGCCGGCCCCGCCGAACTCCGCCGTCCGGGCCATCTCGCTGCTCTGTTTAACACCGGCCCGACCCGATCTCACCCGGGCGCTGCAGATGCCGGAGACGACCCCATCATTGCTGGTGTCTTGACATCAACGACTCAAGTGGCCTACATCTGCGTCTGAGCCAGTGTGTCTGTCTGTGTCTGAGCCAGTGTGTCTGTCTGTGTCTGAGCCAGTGTGTCTGTCTGTGTCTGAGCCACTGTGTCTGTCTGTGTCTGAGCCAGAGTCCACCGAGTACCGCATCTCGCCAAAAAACAAGCAAAGCAAAACACGTAGATTCCAAAATGTGAAAATCCGTCATGTTGTTTCTCAACAAGTTAAAAGGAGATTCTGTCGGTAAAAAAAAACGTTTTTAAGTCAAATGTGCAGAAGCACACGATACCTGACCCTGATTCATAATAACTTTTTACAACTCATTCTCTCTTTACACTGCATTAACTTTGCAGTTTCGCCCTAGCACGGATCAGTGAGAGGAGATGAGGGAGGGGGGTAGCCAGTAGTGAGATTGTCATAACGGCAGTCCATAGCGCCATGGCTGAAGCAAAAATAAAAAATTGGCAATACCTTAGTCCTTCAGAATGTGTCGGCGCTGAAATTTGGTTTTCTAAGACACCATTTTGTGTTTATTCTAGAAAGACTGGAATGAAAGACCGTTTAGAGGACTAAATCCCTTCAACAGAGCTTGACGAAAGTAATCGTAGCCATGCTTGCCAAAACGATCTTCTAGGGGGACTACTTCGACAGATAGATCATCTTTGGATCTTCCATTTCAGTGAAGCCAGTATATTGTGAAGCGTGTAATGACGTGTTCGTAATGGACACCAAGTCCCGGTTTAGAACAGCAGTCTTGCTTGTGCGCAAACAGTGGGCACTCATTCCTAATCTCTCATTCTACTCAAGTTTGCCATATTCTTGGCCTGTTGCCGGCATTGTACAAAAACCGGATGGTTTAGGATTCTCACTCGAGTTTCACAATGGTGAGTACATTGCGCTGCAGCTTGCACCATTCGCGTCCCCCTCACCACCAACATGTCCATCGTATCTGCATAAAACACCGTTCAGCAGCAAGATGGCAGGCTGAACAACCTCTCTCTCTCCATGCAGCGTCGCAATCGGTTCCAAACCAATCAAAGCATCTGCCGAGCTTTCCAAAGCCGCCAAATTCCTGACCACTCGGTCGCAGCATTGTTGGGGCGATTACCGGGGGCCCAATTCCAGTGACCTCAGCTACACCGTTCGTCGAATGAATGGTGAGCGGCGGAGGCCGGTGGCGACATCTTCATCGTGGGGCGCGCGGTCCGCGCGGCCCGCACTCGGGCCCCCCTCCGGGCCGCGCTGGGACCGCCGCTGGGCGGTCGGAGATTATTAGAGGCGGTAACCTGGCGCCCCCCACCTGCCGGCCGGATTTAGAGCGCTCCTCCTGCCCGGCGGGGGGCCAGGGGTCACGTGGGTCGCCGCGCCGCCGACAGGTGCGGTATTCGAGCCGTTCGGCTGACCGCTGAGGAGCCGGCCCGTTTTATGGGCGCTCCGTGGCACCTGGACAAGTAGCACACTTTGCCTACTCAGCCGCTCACAAGGTCGCTTGATCTCATTCGCATTTAACCCTCTGGGTTTGCACTCAGAGTGGATTTTGTTGGCTTGGCTGAAAAACATTTCGCAGAGCGGTGAGAGAGGGTTGAGTGACCTGTTTACGGGTAATGTTGGAAACAAACAAGTTGCGAACAGCGGACAGAAAATGGATAGGACACAACATACCGCCACAGGACAAGTATTGTACCCACCAAACACTGCACTTACGGAAAGCATACGAAGTCGCTTGGAGGCTGTGGTTGTGCTACGGCATGGAACGAGTTGAGAGAATATCAGTTTACCCAGATCCAACGCTAAAACTTTAACAACAGATGCAACAGACAAGCTTCCGCCGCGGCTGACAAGATATTGGATAATATCAAAGCGGTAAGACCGAAGAGATAGAAGATAGATTGACCCTCTTTGATGACATCACAATTAACAAGTCGCTGCGGATCTTTATTCATCTAGTAACATCGATTATTGTATGCGAAAGAGATACCAACCTGAATAAAGTAAAAGACTTCGCATCAACTGTGGCATTGGTTCGTAAGAAAATTGTTGTGTCTTTTTTTGCTTGAAAGAGGCTGTAGCAACATATTTGGTCGTACTGAGTCATCACTAAAAGTGTTTTTCCTCAGCTGTAGTGACCTTAAAATCGTGATAAAAATTTCACTCAGATTACTAGGAAACTAATTTAATCATTGCTTCACCTCCAAGAAGTGAGAAGGGTCGCTGTTAAGTTCCAAAGTGGAACGCTCTAGTCAAGCTGACAAGCGAACTCAAATAGCTAATGCAATATACGTGTATCAATGCAGTACTTTTGATGGCAATCTGCCAGTGATATGAGTCTTAATCCCACGCGGCTGCCGATTCGCCCGTCCCAGCGTTGCCCTGACGACAGCGCTTCACCACTGGCAGCCCTGTCCGTGGCGGATCAGTGAGCCCAACCGCAGACTCGAGTTCTGGACCACACATCATCGACGGACACGACACCGGCGCAGGCGCCCCACAAAAACAGGTCCGGACTTACCATCGAGTGGCCCAGGTATTCGGCGGCGTTATCTGATATATACAGCAGTTTTCCGTTCTGAGTGGTGATCATCAGGAAGCCATTCGTCGCCTGGGAAAGAGGCAAGGAGCGGGTGAGTCACCGCTGATCGTCGTCACCATTTGCTCGTCTCTGCTTTATTGTCCATGAAGTGCCGCGGCCCGGAGCTGGCAAGCGCAGACGGAAGAGGAGCGAGAGGGTAGCGAACGAGCACACTTCACAGGAGTCGAAGCGTCAGAATGGAACGACGACACCGAAGGCGCCAGTCAGATTGTTGACACCCTGTGCATCCCACGCGATAAGCAAGACACAAATCGCTTCGCACATGTTCTCAGGACAGGTGATAAGCATGTATGGAAAATCGCCTGAAAGGGAAAACCACCGAAGTTATTTGCGCTATCAGGTGGCCGGCGGACTTTCCCGCTGGCCGTGTTTTCACATGGGACGGTCATCCTTTCCACCAGCGGCCGGCGCTCCGCTGCACGGCCGGGGTTTCGGTCGGCGGGTTTGTTGCACACGTGGCATGACCAGACGAGGTCATGCGTCACATTGCTGCAAGTCAGGCCGCGCGGTGTGCCCCAGCCGTCCGAGCAGCGCGCTCTGTCGAGCTGGTCCTTTTGAAAAGCCACGCCACGGACCGACTGCGCGGTGATGACAGCGGCGCCTGGTGACGCAACCCCAGGCAGGGCAGCCGGGAGCACTTTTAACTGAAAGCTGAATGAATCATGTCTGAAATGATTAATCATCCACCGAATCGTTGCGAGTGGCACTGTTTGCAGAACTTTTGCCCGATGAACGTCGATGAGGCTTAGTGCATCGATGGGCAATTTTTCACTCATCATTCGCACATTGCTGTTAGCCGGCAAATCAAGTCAGGTAAAGGTTTAATTGCAGCCGTACAATTAAAGTCATCTTATGAAGGCTGGGCCACAAATGCAGTTTCACTGAATTGACTGAGCTTGAAGAAGGGGCTAGTCGTGAGTTGAACATGTTTGCATGCACTTACCACTGGTCTGAGCATTGTTCCACTCGTTAGCAGAATGGCCTGCGTTAGCAAGAATATCGCTGGGCACGGGAGCAAGGTTCGGCGTGGTGGGCCCGAAAATTCCACCCCACGCGAGGTGATATATATGCGCTACCTTCTAAATGCATCATTTGCACCTCATACTGATTTTGACATGGCCAAATGAAAAAAGATACTGGCCAATAAGTGTATCAAGGAATCAGTCATCAGATAACATAAGCCCAACGCCAACTGCAGTGGCTATTAGTCGGCAAATTCCTGTTGGTCCGCCGGATCGCCGATGGAGACTGGTTGTGCGGTGACGTTCGGGGACGGTCGTCCGGCCCGGTCCGGCCGGCCTCCCTCCCCCGGAGAGGAGTGCCGGCCTCGCTGGCCAGCCGCCGCCGCCGCGCGCCACACAGCAAAAACGAATAACTTCATAAATTAGGCATCTAATTAGGATGAGAAAACACACGCGCGGACTTCACCGTTTGATTTAATATCACTCGGGAGGATTTATCCGTGTCCACAGCCATGTATATGCATGGCAGGTCACGGGTCAGATCGACTTTAACGGGCTGATTATTGAAACAGCGCCCCAAAAAGCGACCACCGGTGCTTTATGCCGGATGGCCAGTATAATTCTCGGCGGGGAGAGAAGAGAGGCCCGCCAGCGATGCCACGGAGGTAGTGCTGGCTTCTTCAGGTCTACAGCCGTCCACTAACAGGCCGGACGAGACGAGAACAGGCGGAAAAGGAATACCAATACCACTGGCGCAACGAAGCACGTGCGCGAGCGCTTATGGAACAACGTTGAACAGACGGCATTGGTTGTGTCGTCTAAATGACGACAGCGCGTAGCAAAGCCCCTGTGTGCGCAACCTATGCTCATCAAAATCGTGTTCCACTCTTAAACCCCCGTTGATGGGCGGACCGCGGCGAGCTCCGCCGACAGCCCCTGCGAGAGTTGTCCTCGGCGGCGCCGGGCGACCGCCACGTGTCCGCCAGCCCATATCCGGGATATTATGAATGAGTTCGGGGTGTAAGCCGCGATTACAGGGGATCTACGGTGATTCAGGGCGGTCAGAGAGTACTGCGGCCGGGCTTGGCCGCCGTCTGGTCTTGTGGGACTCGAGCCGTTAGCATATTGCCGTAAACCGCGTGGCATTGTCGGCGTCGGCGTGTTTTGTTACAGCTGTCCGCTCGGCTCCATGAAAACACGCCGCAGCGGAGTAACTGAGCCCGCACCGCAGCGGCTTTTGTTCTGCGCCGTCTCCCGGTCTCCATAAATAAGCCGGTATAAGAGCGCGGCGGCCCGAGGCCGCGCCGCTGGGAGGGCGGCCGGCCCGGCCGGGCCGGTGACTTCATTAAGCGGTCGGCCTCTAACCCCCGGCGACTGCGCGTCAGCAGGGAGTGCAGCGCAGTGGCGGGACGGGGGCGGCGGGTGACACGCTGGCCCGGCCCGACCGCGACGGGTCCCCACAGCCGACACCGGGCTACGAGGATCGGTGTGATCCCCCCCCCCCCAGCCGTCACCGGGCTATGGGGCCCGGTGTCATCCCGCCCCCCAGCCGTCACCGGGTTACGAGGATCGGTGTCATCCCCGAGCCGTCACCGGGCTACGAGGATCGGTGTGATCCCCCCCCCCAGCCGTCACCGGGCTACGAGGATCGGTGTGATCCCCCCCCCAGCCGTCACCGGGCTACGAGGATCGGTGTGATCCCCCCCCCCCCAGCCGTCACCGGGCTACGAGGATCGGTGTGATCCCCCCCCCCCCAGCCGTCACCGGGCTACGAGGATCGGTGTGATCCCCCCCCCCCCAGCCGTCACCGGGCTACGAGGATCGGTGTGATCCCCCAGCCGACACCGGGCTACGAGGATCGGTGTGATCCCCCCCCCCCCCCCCAGCCGACACCGGGCTACGAGGCTGGGTGTGATCCCCCCCCCTTCCCCAGCCGTCACCGGGCTATGGGGCCCGGCCGCACCACCCGGAGCTGTACGGGAGACGAGCGCGCCCACAGTGGCGGGAGAGGGGAGGGGGGGGGGGCTCAGCGTGTGAGGCGTTAAGCAGTGCCGAGCGTAACCTGCCTGGGCTCCATGTCGAAACGCCGGTGTAGTGTCGAGTGGCACCAGCTTGGCGTCGCACAAGCGTGAGCTCACCTTGGAGAAGCCCAGAGGTGGAGGCGGGCGAGTCTCCGGCTCCATTTGCTTGAAAACTGAAAAAGAAGAACCGTATCAAAGGTCGAACTGCAAGACGATCCGGTACTGTTTGGTTAATGTCATTACAGACTATTGCCAAAGTGGAAGTGCAGTGTAAAATGACGAGTTGCTTTGAAATTAATTCATGCATGTTTATCAAGGTGGATTCAAGTGGAAAATTCGCCGATCCACCTCAGAATCCTGTGTTATAGATCATTCCGGCTCTGAGCTTCTTCCGAGAACAGGCCTCCCAGCCGTGTACGTCAGCGCCCTATGCATGATGCCGAGGACCGCAAGCTCATTAAAGGGACAGATAACTGGCAGTTGAACTGTAAGATACTGGTGCTCTGCCCGTTCCCCAATGGTGATAACGTTCCGGATCCATGCAACGAATCGGATGGTATTTCAGCAAGTCACAATACTCACTTGACAGTAAAACAGGCTGGATTCTACCAAAGATTCTGAACAGCGGTTGAAACTGAAATGTGCGCTCCTCCGATGCAGGTTGTTTCCTCGTAGGAATATGTTGGACCATAAGACAGACACCCGCTCGCTGTAAGTCGATGCGGCCCGTATTGCTCCATCATGTCCATTGAAATGAAAACAATCTATCACATCTGCCCTGCGTCCTCTTGTTCAGGAGACCGTAATACGTCATCGTTATTACACATCACGCTTGTCCCAAGCGCGGCCTGTATGACGCAAAGCGGGCACTCGCTGGCACTCGCTGGCACACAAAACAGACACAAGCTAACAAGCACAGGCACAAGACAGGCATTCAGGCAATCCTGAATGTAGAAGTGGCAGAAATGCTCTGATTCTGACCACAGCAGTCCCTGGCGCTGCATGAAAGGGAGCGCGACAGTATGCATTGCCGTAATCAAAAAAAGAAAAGCCTTCACATTACGCCGCATCACAGGCAGAGCGCGGATCCACTCAACGTCATGACACGACAAACAGAACCGAACCAACACGCCTCCCAAGCAGGGGCCACGCTCGCCTGGCGGCCCCCCGGCCCCCGCGGCCCCTCTGCCTCTCAGGCTGCGGTACACCTTCTTCCTGGCTGAGGCCGGCGGCGGTGCGCGTGCACTGGGCGGCGCGTGCCGCGCGGCCGCCGGCCCGACTATGCGTCTGATGAGGGCAGCAGTGATCCATCAGACGCCGGCCGCCGAGCCCCAGCCGTCGACGGCCGGGGCTCGGCGCTGATCTATTGGGCCCATTTTCCGTTTCATCAGGCCGGGACTGGCCATGCGAGAGGCCCGCATCACGCGCGTCACGAACAATTGAATAACGGCCGCGTGGGACGCGCCGAAAAACGCCGCTCGGCCGCCAGCGCCGACTTGTCATTAAGCGGCAAACCACTAACTGGGGAGGTGGTGCTTGCAAAGTGGGGGCTTGGCTTTCAATTATTTTCAATCGCTGGTTTACCAGCTGATGATGCGAGTGGCCAGGCGTCGGCAAACATTCCGCTGTGGGTGTTTTTATACGTTTTCCAGCTATCTGACGTTGTTGCATATCACAGCTAGCGCATCAACATCTTTGTCAAAGCTGCATTATGTTTGTCGTGGAGCACCGGACTGTGAAAATTCGTGATGTCAGCAACAAGAATCGGATCTGGATGCGGCGGGCTTTGCAAAGGATGCAGCAAGAGCGTGTCCTATTTTGGCTATCTTCAAAGCATGGAATCAGGTATGGACGAGTGCACTGAATGCCGACCCGCCGAGCACATCCTGTTAAAAATGCATTATTCAACAGCAAAAATTGTAAAACTACGCCGAAACGCATGATGACATTAAATGAGCAGACGGTTACGTAATGGAGGACGTTGCCAGACATTACAGGAGATATTGCTGCAGGCTTCATGCATTAACCAGTAACTCGTTAGCTTGGTCAACCATTTCAATCCGACGGACGCCATAAGTTCGTCGCCATGAACGACCAGCGCCTATCAAAACACTCCCATATTTGCAGACGGATATTGGGCACGAGGTCAAGTCGGCACACCTCTGAAGACGTGAGCGGGCTCACCTTGGAGGCCCGCTGCTCTGGACCGCCTGCGCCCAATTAAGTACGACAGCTTGACCTCTCAGCGGGACGTTACCCACAGGGATCAAAATACTGCTGATTGTTGCCGCACACTGCGATACAACGAAATGACAGTACACTGCGGCACTACCGTACGACAGGGCACCATGACACTACCAAATGCACCAGCGGTAGGAGCACGACAGCGCTGGATTATCGCGTCGGCTCCTACCGGCACGCGTCTCCGCCTGGTGGCGACATGGACCCGAGTGAGCCACTACCCATCAGGTGAGGCTCCCCGAGCTCGCGGCAGTGATGTGCGCCTGTCAGCGCTAGGGTGAGGGTTACAGCCAAACTCCGGCCACGGCAAGAGGAGTGCGGTCCGCGGGGCCACCCGAAGCCTCCGGCCACGGCAAGAAGAGTGCGGTCCGCGGGGCCACCCGAAGCCTCCGGCCACGGCAAGAAGAGTGCGGTCCGCGGGGCCACCCGAAGCCTCCGGCCACGGCAAGAAGAGTGCGGTCCGCGGGGCCACCCGAAGCCTCCGGCCACGGCAAGAAGAGTGCGGTCCGCGGGGCTACCCGAAGCCTCCGGCCACGGCAAGAAGAGTGCAGTCCGCGGGGCCACCCGAAGCCTCCGGCCACGGCAAGAAGAGTGCAGTCCGCGGGGCCACCCGAAGCCTCCGGCCACGGCAAGAAGAGTGCAGTCCGCGGGGCCACCCGGAGCCTCCGGCCACGGCAAGAAGAGTGCAGTCCGCGGGGCCACCCGAAGCCTCCAGCCACGGCAAGAAGAGTGCGGTCCGCGGGGCCACCCGGAGCCTCCGGCCACGGCAAGAAGAGTGCAGTCCGCGGGGCCACCCGGAGCCTCCGGCCACGGCAAGAAGAGTGCGGTCCGCGGGGCCACCCGGAGCCTCCGGCCACGGCAAGAAGAGTGCAGTCCGCGAGGCCACCCGAAGCGTGGCTTACGACATGGGCAGCGCCAGCAGCAGCTCGTAAACGCAGCTATGCGCGACGTCCTCGTCCGACACACGCGAGACATGGCGCCTGACCAGCCGGGCAAAACGACTGTGTTGGCTCTCGGCAAACAGGGCGGCATGTCTGCGCCGCCGCGCGCCGCGGAGGATCGCCTCTGCGGCGGCCGATTGTGGCGCGCGTGCCATGTGAGCGCCGCCGCCGCTGTCACGCCAGCAATGCCCTGAGCTGGCCGCCATGCAGACGAGCGACCTGTCGGTGCAGATGTTTAGACGCGCTTGGGCCAGTAAGTCCGGCCGCGGCCACCGCACCAATGCGCCCCTGTTGCGCATGCCTCTCAGCTGTCGGCGTTCAAGGAATGCCTCAGCGGCTGGTCACCAGGGAAACGACTGGCGCTGCTGACTGGCTGGCGCTGCTGGCTGGCTGGCGCTGCTGGCTGGCTGACGCTGCTGGGCGTCCCGCTTCACTGCAGCAACTGCCACTGGCCCGAACAGCCATAACTGCGCTGTCTCATCCGCGGTCTCCTGATCCCGTACCAGTCAGCTGTTGCGATGATCTTACCCGTACCAGCCCCGTTCCCTGGACCCGCTGCCCCGCCCCCAGACACAGGGTGCCCGGGGCACTCGTCTTCATTAACACTCGATTGTCCGTAATTTTGCCACCTTATCGCGCTACTTCCCCGGCTGTCAGAGACACACAGAAGCGTATTTTACAGGATCCGTAGGGTAGACCACGGCTACTCAATCCATGGCACGTTATCGTTGCATTCATACGAATACAGTACTCTTGTGAGCAAACTTTGGCTGCACTTTGTTCGTTACTCGGTGATAAAAATTTGGATCGTGCTTATGCTTATGCAACAATTTAGCATGCGTCGAAGACTGTGCCAACAGCAAGTTTGTTGTGCCTTTCTTCTTTTCACATTCTCCATATTTCAATCCTGTATGGTTGAGAATGCTTGCCATATCTGTAACACTAAACAGCTGAGCTGGTCTGCACGATCCGCCGGTCAGACACCCTCGCAGCACATAAGCGCTATCAGCTATCCCCCTTGCCTCAGACTATAACCGCCCACCTCTGTCGGCCCCATCCTCCTCAGGCAGCAGCCACCTCGCTCTCCTGCCCCCATCCTCCTCAGATAGATCCCGCCCACCTCTGCTGGTACCGTTCGCCTCAGACAGCAGTCGCCCACCTCTGCTGGTCCCATCCTCCTCAGACAGCAGCCGCCCACCTCTTCTGGTACCGTTCGCCTCAGACAGCAGTCGCCCACCTCTGCTGGTCCCATCCTCCTCAGAAAGCAGCCGCCCACCTCTGCTGGTACCGTTCGCCTCAGACAGCAGTCGCCCACCTCTGCTGGTCCCATCCTCCTCAGACAGCAGTCGCCCACCTCTGCTGGTCCCGTTCACCCCAGACAGCAGCCGCCCACTTCTGCTGGTCCCATCCTCCTCAGGCAGCAGCCATCTCGCTCTCCTGCCCCTATCCTCCTCAGACAGATCCCGCCCACCTCTACTGGTATCGTTCGCATCATACAGCAGTCGCCCACCTCTTCTGGTCCCGTTCGTCTCAGGCATCAGTCGCCCACCTCTGCTGGCTCCATCCTCCTCAGACAGCAGTCGCCCATCTCTGCTGGTCCCGTTCGCCTCAGACAGTAGTCGCCCACTTCTGCTGGTCCCATCCTGCTCAGGCAACAGCCATCTCGCTCTTCTGCCCCCATCCTCCTCAGATAGATCCCGCCCACCTCTGCTGGTCCCGTTCGTCTCAGACAGCAGTCGCCGCGCGCGCCTTACCCGCTGCCCGTCTGCCTCGTTACCCAACCCGGTATGCCGGTATCTATAAACCGATCAGATCGATACCTGCAAGTGTTCCCACGTCGGAGGCGCCGGCCGCCGAGCGTGCAGGGCGGCCGCGGGGCCGAGCCGCCGATTATCTATGCGTCGACGACGCGGTCGGGTCGGCGGGGGTCAAGGGCCAGTGCGCGCCGCGCCCGCGGGGCAGGAATGTCCGCAGCTCTCATACTGCACCGC